AAGCAAATGATATGCTGAAATATATTGCAGAAAAGAACTGAGGCCACTTGGGGAATGAGTCACATAGAGTCATATTTTCCAGATATCTTGGTTAACTATTTCTGTTTTAGAACTTAATTTTTAAATCTAAGAATAAAATTACATACCATCTGGTTCCTACCTTTTAAAAAGAAAAATATGTGCCAGGCATGGTGGCACATATCTGTAATCCTTGAGACTCAGGAGGCTGAGGCAGAAGGATCACAAGTTTGAGTCCAGCCTCAGCAACTTAGCAAGGCCTCAAGCAACTTATTGAAACTATCTCAAAATAAAAAATAAAAAAGGCTGGGGATGTAACTCAGTGATAAAGCACCCTGTGTTCAATCCCCAGTAGCAAAAGAAAAAAGAAATTAAAAGAAAGATGCATGAGGATAAAGTTTTTCTTTTACTTTTTTTTTTTTTTTTTTTTTTTTTAGGGCTTGGGTGGTGGTAGCTCAGTGGTAGAGTGCTCGCCTAGCACATGCAAAATCCTGGGTTTGAACTCAGCATCATATAAAAGTAAATAAATAAAATGGAAGAGATTGTGTCCATCAACAACTAAAAACAATAATAAATAAATTTCTTTTTTAGTTGTTGACACCTTTATTTTATTAATTTATTTATATGCAGTGCTGAGAATCGAACTCAGTGCTTCACACATGCTAGGCAAGCACTCTACCACTGAGTCAACCAAGCCTTCTTTAACTTTTTAATATGGGTCATTATTATAAAGATTAGTCACCGAGATATGGGAAAGATGTGTTCATGTATCCAAATATAACTTGGCGTAACATGGAAAGAACGTAATGTTTTATAAATACAGTAATTGCACCACGTGATTTCCTTTAAAAAAAAAAAGAAAAGAAAGAAAGAAAAATCTCCCAGTTACACCTTGCTTTTTTTTGAACAACCAATTTTCCATAAAGGTACAATGAAGCAGAGGTAATTAAATAACATCCTATGCAGTATTATATAACTATCTCTTTATAAAATTAAATAATGGATTAAATTCTTATGCCATATACTTCCAAATGATTTCTTTAACCTCTGAAAAATCTAATTTGTTTCCCATTACTACTATGGACATTCAATTCATTCTTGGCTTTCAAAAATTCACCTAATTTCATGAACAAGAAGCTTGTCCCCTCACACTTAGTTTGTTTATGGAATGTATATCACTTCATTTCAAAAATATTTAATAGCATGCTTGGGATAAAACATTCTACCCAGTTTTCTTTGTACTGAGGAAAACAATGTGTCTGCAATAGGAATATCCAATCCAAATTTTATCCAGTACCACTTCATTTTTCATTTTGAAGAGAATGCCCACCTGAGCAAGATTCAGCTCCATACGTATCTCTACAGGATCAATTTTCTCATAATTTCTAAAATATTTGACTTTTTGAAAAACCCAGCTTCAGAAGTTAGACAAAAACTGCTATTGAAATGGACGACAAATACTTCTAGGTACCAACATTGCTCCTTAGAGGAAATTCTCCAACTTCTCCCTAAATATTGCACAACAGACTCAATAAATATTACCCATTATTATTCAATAAATATGTAACAAATATTTACTTTTTTATAGGCACTATGCTAAGAGAAGCAATTTTTTAAAATTTCAGTCCTCAAGAAGCTCACAACTCTAAAGTGGCCTACAGCCTTAGTGGAAATATGCATGGGTCAGTAGACTAAATTTGCTCATAAATATCAGTCATAATCCAAAAGTATTAAGTCAAAGTCTTTCTGCAGGAAAAGATCAGTTGTTTTCCAGTTATTATTTAAGAAATATCATATAGAAAAATATTAAGTTCCTTACATATAATAAAACAACAGTAAGTTCCAGGAACAATTTTTTTCAAATACAATGTTTAAGTGATCTACCACTGCCATGCTTGTTCCACAGCCTTGTAGTGCCTAAAATCTTGAAAGAATATAAAGTCAGAAGATGAAAAGACCTCCCATGTTCTTGAATGGACAGAATTAATATTATTAAAATGGTCATATTTACCAAAAATGATCTACAGACTCAATGCAATCCCGCTCAAAATATTTATATCAGTAAATAGAAGAAAGATCAGTAGAGTAGAGGAAAGGAAACAGGAGGAGGGAGGAGGGGAGAGAAAGTACTGAGGACTGAATTAGAGCAAATTATATTCCATACTTTTATAATTATATCATAATGAATCCTTATATATAACTAAAAAGAGTCAATTAAAAAAATAAAAGCCAGGGCTGGGGATGTGGCTCAAGCGGTAGCGCGCTCACCTGGCATGCGTGCGACCCAGGTTTGATCCTCAGCACCACATACAAACAAAGATGTTGTGTCCGCCGAGAACTAAAAAATAAATATTAAAAATTCTCTCTCTCTCTCTCTCTCTCCCCTCTCTCTCTCTCTTTAAAAAAAAATAAAAAATAAAAGCCAATGACATTTTTCATAGAACTAGAAAAACCAATTCCAAAATTCACTTGGAAGAATAAAAGACCCTGATGAGGGCTGGGGTTGTGGCTCAGTGGAAGACTGCTTGCCTAGCACATGTGAGGCACCAAGTTTGATCCTCAGCACCACATAAAAAACAAATTAGTAAAATAAAGTGTCCATCTACAACTAAGAAGATTTAAAAAAAAAAAGACCCTGATGAACCAAAGTAATTCTGAGCAAGCAAAGCAATGCTAGAGGCATCACAATACCTGATCTCAAATTATACTATAGAGCTAGAGTAACAAAAACAACATGAAAACAGACATGAAGAGCAATAGAATAGAATAAAAATACAGAGACTAACCCACACAAATACAGTCATTTGATACTCTACAAAGGAGCCAAAACATACCTTGAAGAAAGACAGCCTTTTTAACAAATGATGCTGGGAAAACTGGATATCCATGTGCAGAAGAATGAAATTTCTCTCCCACTCTGCACAAAAGTCAACTCAAAATAGATGAAACTCCTAGAAATTAGACCAGGAACTTTACAACTACTGGAAGAAAACACAGGTCAAAGTAACAGCATAGGCCTCAACCCTATTTGTAAGTCTTCTAAAGTCCAAGAAATAAAGCCAAAAATCAATTCGTGGGATGGTATCAAATTAAAAAGCTTCTGCACAATCAAGGAAACAAGAGTAGTATTAAGAGAGAACCTACAGAATGAGAGATCTTTGCCAGCTACTCTTCTGACAGGGCATTGATACAGAAAATATAAAGAACTCAAAAAACAACACCATAAAAACAAATAACCCAATCAATAAACACACACATGAACTAAACAGACATTTCTCAAAAGAAATACAAATGGCCAACAAATATACACAAATAAAATGTTCAACATCCTTAATAATTAGGAAAATACACATCAAAACTACATTGATATTTCATTTTTCTCCAGTTGAAATGAATCAAGAATACCAATAACAGCTGGGCATGGTGGCATGCCTGTAATCCCAGCCACTCAGGAGGCTGAGGCAGAAGGATAAGAAGTTAGAGGCCAGCCTGATCAGCTTAACAAGACCCTATCTCAAAATAAAATATAAAGAGGTGAGATATAGCTCAGTGGTAAAGTGGATCCTGTGGTTCAATCTCCAGTACCAAAGGAAAAAAAAAAAAGAGGAATGGGTTCAAGAGACAGGGAAACAATATTGATGAAAATTAACAATGAATATCAACATAAAACAACATCAATGAATTAATTATACTGGTTGAATAATATTTTCCTTATTTTCTATTTTTTGAATTATGTATAGATGTTCATTTTTATCTAAGATTAGTATATGTTAATGTATTTTTGTTCAAGAATAAAATAAAATTGGGGAAACAAGTTCAACCAATCATGTATAGCTCAGCAATGTTACCATACAAGCTGTAGTCCTCCCCCTGCTTCTGGGCTGCCTTGTTGCTAATGTGTTACTCCTGAAGAAAACAGATCCCAGAAAAAAGATCCCTTCCAGGAACTTCTTGCAATTATACATGTAAGTATGTGTGACATATACCTTCATGAATATGATCCCTCTGTCAAGTAAAAAATCACTACTTCTCCACAGAAAGTGATACTAACCACTACTCCCCCATCCTTTAAACAGAAATACTCACACAAATATCCATTCACTCTATACTCTTTCGATGGGAAAGGAGTAAGGGGTTTGGAATCAGAGAGAGCTAAAATCAAATCCCGTCCCTGTAACTCAGTAATTCTTTACAAAGTCCAAGTTAATTTATGTTCAAATACTCCTTTAATATGAGAGAATCTGTTCTTGTTTTTGACAACTTTTGCCAAGAAATATCATTCTAAAAGCCCAAGGGTGAAGGAACCCAAGATTCTCTTCTTTTTCAAAGTGCTTCCTTAGAGGGTATGAAAGGTATCTACAACTTTGATATTTGTTTGGTTTACAATCATGTAGTAAACTTTTCATTTGTTTTAGGCATTTTTCCATTTAACATTATATATTACCAAAAAAATAATAAGACAAAAATGTAAAACTGCCTTCACTATTATTCTCAGAAAATGTATTTTCTATCAAAACAAAAAAATTTAGCCTTGCTCCTTGTTCTCAATAGGATAACAAGATAAATAATTTCCTACTCTGGGTAATATAGTACAATTTACTCCAACTCAAGTTACTTAGGCTTTTAAAAAAATAAAGGAAGTTTACATTTGCTTTCAAAGAAACTTATTAAATTAAAATACAAAGGAAAACATTAAAATACCTTTAAGAAATCACAGTGACCTGAATAGAGCAAATCACCTTTCCAAGTAGATAATACAAATGGAAGTGACTTATCATTTTTAAATTTAAAAGATCAAAAGGAATTCTATATTATACCATCTAATAATTTGCAATATTTCATATCCAGAAAAAATACAGAAAAAGAAACAACTTCAAAAAAAACTCATTCTTACCTGTCAAAGAATAAACTAACAAGGAATGTCTTGCCAAGAAATTAGAATGGAGCTACATATCCATATCAAACAATAATCCACTACGTACCTTGATCAATACAGTTTTCAGCAAGAGCAAAAAGCTGAGGTGAACGCTCCTCAAGCAACTGCTGATGGATATTCACACATCTCAGAGTCCACCATGGCAAACTCTAGAAAAAAACAGGTAAGCTGAAATAAAAGAACACTTTTAGGGAGGGGGGACCTTTTACATAAATTGAGACTAATTTTTTAGAATTTCTTACATGCATGAAATTTATTCTTCAGTAAGTTTACCCACACTCTGCTAAGTTTTCAATACCAAAAAACACTTCTAGTTTTTCATTAAGAAAATACCTCATTTCCATTCTCTTAAAGGCTGAGGTTTTTTTTTTTCCTACTCACTTGGGCTTCTTGATGCTATTTCATAATTACCATCTCCTGCTTTAAAATATGTCTGTTGTAGCCAGGTGTGGTGGCACATGCCCATAATCCCACCTACTCAGCAGTCTGAAGCAGGAAGATCACAAACTCAAGGCCAGCCTAACCAACTTAGCAAGATCCCGTCTCAAAATACAAAATAAAACGTGCTGGGGAATGTAGTTCAGTTGTAGAGCACTTGTCTAGCATGCCTGAGGCAGTGCCACAAAAAATTTAAACATTAAAATTAAGAAAAAAATGTCTGTTGTGAGCATCCTGCTCTGCTGTGGCACTCTGCCACCACAACAATAGACATTCCAACTGCAGGATGCCTCCTACAAGAACCCCCAGCAGATGCGATCATTCCATAACCTGAACTTCCAACACATCATTTGCCCTTCCCTTTACAAACACATTCCACTGTATTTATGCAAGTCATCCTTAGTTTCAATGCCATTCACTATCTATCCAACAAGATTAGAAATCAAGTCTTACTCACCTTTGCATCTTCCTTAAAGTAATGTATTTTGCACAGCCCTACAGTAAAAAAATACTATGGATTCAGATATTCACCAAAACTGGGAAGATCCCTTCCACACCCTTGTGAAACCTCTTCATGAATCCCTCTCCTGATCTCCTACCTCTCTGAACCTCAATGCTGGTCCTAGAAGTTGGCACCACATTGCACAGCACTGGTTTTTTAAGTGTATAACTTATATCTGAACCAGACTGCATTGTATACAGTGACTTGACTAATGCACAGAAAGAGCATATAGCAGATTTTTCTTATAGCTTCTTATGCTTGTTCTTACAAAATCAATTCATCTTTATTAAGGACTAGGAATGTAGCTCAGTGGTAGAGCACTTACCTAGCATGTACAAGACCCTATGTTCAATTCCTAGCACCAAAAAAAAAAAAAAAAAGAAAGAAAGAAAAAATAAATATATCCTTATTAGGAAAAAAAGAAGAGGAGCAAAAAACAATTAACAAAGCCAGTATAGAAATATACCTGCATTGCCTAATGCCATACTCTTTCCCTAGAAAAATCCATGAGAAAGTTTATTTTCTTCTAGACCTTCCTCTATGTGTGCATTGTCTATGTGTATATATATGTCGAGTTATAATAGGTTTGGGGGAGGATGTTGTTTTGTTTTTGTGGTAATAGGGATTGAACTCGGTGGTACTCTGCCACTGACCTAGATCCTCACTTAGCTAGACACAGGGTCTCATTAAGTTGCCCAGGCTGGCCTTGAGCTTTCAATCCTCTTGCTTCAGCCTACTGAGTAGCTGGTATTATAGGCATGAGCCACCATGCAGGGCCCAAAAGTATTTTTAAACTTGGAACTTAATTTCTTGACTAAAGGGGTTCCCTCCTAAATGGCTACCTGGCATAGTTGCATCAATGACAATGATGCAACCATAAATGAATTTTAACTCAATGATAAAATTCTTTCTAATTATTTATGCTGTTTCTTCAGCCCATTTAAGGAAAGGTGGAATTATCTAATACAAAGAGTTTCAAATCATTTTTAATTAAGCTCCCTAAGGTGTCGCTTCATTTTCCTTCTTTTTCCTATCACTAAGGCTAATGAAGTCGGTCTACATTTCAATTATCTGTCCTGTATCAGCTGTCAGCAACAAGTGAGTCATCTTTGGCAGCAAAGTCTTCCCTTTTTTAGCTATGGGAATTTAGATGCATGCATCCAAGTCAAAAAGATTGGCCTTTTAAGAAAATATATGACCTAAGATGCTAAACTCTTAAACATCAGATCTATAAACATTAACTCTTAACCCAAAATTATCATAAGGAGGAGGAAAGTGTAAAACAAATATAGAAAGCACAGCTGATTTTTCTACTAGAAAATATAATGACCCTTTTCTATTTGCCAAAAGTTGTTTAATAAAAAAAATCAGGCATTAATAAAAAAGAAAACCAGAAACTTTATTTCAAATAATTTCTCATAGTCCTGATTGAGAAGTCACACTAGTGAAGAAGCTCACAGATGGCCAGGGCAGTAGTGCACTCAAGAGGCACCCAACAAATGTGTGCAAACTCATTCTGTCTCATAAATAAGGAAATGGATATTCAGAAATTAACTAACATAAGGCCAGACATACTTGTAATCCCAGCTACTCAGGATGCTGAGGCAGGAGGATCACAAGTGCGAGACCACCCTAAACAATCAGCAAGACCTGTCTCAAAATAAAAAATAAAAGGGCCAGGGATGTAGCTCAGTAGTAGAGAGCCCTAGGTTCAATTCTCAGAACCTCAGGGAGAAAAAAATAATAATAATAACAGAAAGACAATGATTATATATAAACATATTTACTAATTCCTCTAAATTGTTGATGATATGCATATTATTTTTCAAATGATGCTTAACATATTGATGAAGAAAGTTTTTGACCAACAAAACTGTCTCATTCACCCATTAGTGACCATAGTTTCACTAGAAAGAAAATAATGCCACTTAGCAGCCTCACATCTTGGTGATGCAGTTTTTAGAGAAAAGTAATAGTCTATAAAACCATTTAACTCAGATCAACTCAGTGCAAATTATTTATTCAAGCTACTATCAATAAGAAATAAAAAAGGGGCTTCATAAGACATGTTGAAATCCATCTATTAAACACTTTTCTAGTACAATTGATTCCAAATCCTCTGGTTCTCACAAGAGTTGCTGATACATTTCTCATATATTTAAAACAAAGTCAGTGTCTGATCTTGATTGCTTGAGAAAGTAAGCGCCTACAGAGTACAGACCACATCTACATTTTTGCCTATAGAAATAGTGTTTCTGGTGTTTTTTGTTTGGAGACAGGGTCTCTCTATGTTGTCCAGTTAATTCTTGAACTCCTGGGCTCAAGCAATTCTCTTGCCTCAACCTCCCCAAGTAGCCAAGACAGAACACTTGCCACTGTAACCAGTTAAAATTTTAAAAATTATAACTTTTTTTTAAAATCTACATTTATAATTAAAAACATATAATAAATATATTTTTTAATTTAAAATATAAATAAATTTAAAATATAAATAAAATATCATGGTTGGGTTTTTTGGGGGTTTTTTGATACCAGGAATTGAACTCAGAGGTACTTAACCACGAGCCACATCAACACCCCTTTTTTGCATTTTATTTTGAGACAGGATCTTACTTATTTGCTTAGGGCCTCGCTGAGTTGCTGAGGCTGCTTTTGAATTTATGATTCTCCTGATTCAGCTTCCCAAACCGCTAGGATTACAGGTGTGTGCCACTGCACCTGGCTAAAATATCAAGTTTCTTTTTTGCATGTGTGTGGTGCTAGGGATTGAACTCAGGGCCTTATGCATGCAAGTACTCTACCAACTGAGCTATATCTCCAGCCCAATATCATGTTTCTTAAAAACTTTAGCCAACACTTACAAACTGGGACACTTCCCATAAAATTCAATACAGGGTTTGCATCAAACAAAGCTGCAATAATAAGTAAAGCAAGGGTTATCAAGTTATACCCTGTAGGCCAAATCCAATCCACTGCTTGTTTTTATACAGCTTAAGAACTGAAAATAGTTCATGCATCATTTTGAAATCATAAAGCCTAGCATGGTGGTGCATACCTGTAATCACATCAACTAAAGAGGATAAGGCAAGAGGATCTCAAGTTTGAGGCGACCCTGGGCAATTCAGAAAGACCCTATTTCAAAATAAAATAAAATAAAGGGCTGGGGTTATGGCTCAGTGATAGAGGACTTTTGGGTTCAATTCCTGGTTTCATCAAAAAAAAAAAAAAGAATAAAAAGAAAATATTTAAGAATATTTCACAACAAATTCAAAGTATATGAAATTTGAATTTCAATGTCCATGAATAAACCTTTATTGGAATACAGTTCTGCCCACCCATTTACATATTGTTGCTTGCTGCCTTCAAATTTCCATGCAGCAGAGCTGAGCAGTGGGACAGAGACTTCACACTATTTGTCAACCTCCAATAAGCCTCCAAAGACCTTTGTATCTCTCTTGTGGTTTTTGTCCCTCCTACTGCACATCAGCTTCCTGCATGTATGAGTGTTTCTCCTCACTAGTTTATATGTGACCTGAAGAAACCAAATAATAGATATTCAACAAATATTCTACCAAATCCAACCCAAAAAATGAAACCAGACAGGATGTGAGCCAAAAGGCAATAAAACCTGCTGCATTTTAGCTATTGTACATGATTCTTAGATAAAATTTATAAGACATATTAATGACATTTTTAAACCTATACTTAAGATTCTAAGAAAAAGCATTTATACACACAAGGCACAGAAATTCCTAAAGAGGCTCAATATAATCTCACTTTATGCTAATGAAAGTGACAAGGAGAAAAATGTTTGCATATTTTCATTATCTCATTATTATTTCAAAACTAAATACCTCGAAGATGTAGTCACACTTGGGTATAAATCTTACAGATTATTTTCTTGGCTTACCTGAATTGCTGCCAGTTTATGTCTAACATTCACCAGGATAATGCGTGCTATAAGGAGCAGTATAGGCTTTGAAGTGAGGCTGTACACTGATTCACCATCTAAAATGAGCAGGCTCAAAATAACTGTATCCAGTCCTTTGACCTGAAAAAAAGTTTGAAAGCTAAGGTAACATAATTTAACAACTTATTCATCTTTCCAGGTCTTACAATAACATGTAGATTTTCCAGTTAATTATACTTTGAAAAAAGGACATTAACCTATTACACAGCAATAGGCACCAGACAGAATTATAATACTACAAATATTCTTAGAGAGCTACAAACCCATTCTACCCTTACACATAATTGCCCTTCTGCTCAAACTTTAAAGGAATAGGGAATTCATCCAAAAGTTAAAAAAAAAAAAGTTTTGATTACCTGGGGGTGACATATGCCAGTAGACCCCGCTACTTAGGAGGCTGAGGCAGAAGAATCAAATGAACCCACAAGTTCAAGACCAACCAGGGCAATATAGCAACAATCCATTTCAAAAAACCTTTTTTAAATTAAATTAAAATGAGGAACCAGGAACTCAACAAAGTGCTAGCACTGAAGAAGCCATGATGACTACCTACAACAAAATATCATCTTCAATGGATTTATATTAAACATCTATGTTGTGCTTATGCTTCACTAGCTAGTGAACATCATTACCAATATTTCTCCACTCCACAAAGCCCATCAAACCAAACCATCAACAAGGGCTTACATATCAAATGCTGAGTAGGCATACAACCATAAACCAGAGTGAACAGATGGCTCCAAAAACAGGATGACTTTGAAAAATCCACTCTCTGCTGAATAAAGATCTTTTACAATGAACAAAGCACCTGTCTTCATAAAAGGTGACCACAGAATTTTAAAAGCTGCACCAAAACAGCAGGACTGCTTAATCATTATGAATGGGCTCTAATGTCACAAATAAGAGATAGTGTCCTGGGCTGGGGCTGTAGCTCAGCAGTGTGAGGCACTGAGTTCTATCCTCAGCACTACATAAAAATAAATGAAATAAAGGCATTCTGTTCACCTACAACTACAAAAAATAATAATAATAATAAATAAAAATAAAAGATAGTATCCTACCGAGCACGGTGGCACATGCCTGTAATCCCAGTGGCTTGAGAAACTGAGGAAGAAGGATCGCAAGTTCAAAGCCAGCCTCAGGGGGCTGGGGTTGTGGCTCAGAGGTGTAACGCTCACCTAGTATGCATGGGGCACTGGGTTCAATTCTCAACACCACATAAAAAGTAAAATAAAGATATCGTGTCGGGCTGGGGATGTGGCTCAAGCGGTAGTGCACTCGCCTGGCATGCGTGCGGCCCGGGTTCGATCCTCAGCACCACATACAAACAAAGATGTTGTGTCCGCCGAGAACTAAAAAATAAATATTAAAAATTCTCTCTCTCTCTCCTCTCTCACTCTCTCTTTAAAAATAAATAAATAAATAAATAAAAATAAAGATATCGTGTCCACCTATTACTAAAAAATAAATATTAAAAAAAAATAGCCAGCCTTACAAACAGTGAGGTGCTAAGCAACTCCATAAGACCCTGTCTCTAAATAAAATACAAAATAGAGCAAGAGATATGGCTCAGTGGTTGAGTACCCCTGAGTTCAAACCCTAGTAACCCCTGGCAAAAAAAAAAAAAAAAGATACTGTCCTGTTTCTTACTGTGTTTTAAGTAAAATTTTTAACTGAAGCCTCAGTTTCATCAAGTATATAATAAAATAACTGAAACTACAATTTCAAAGAATCCTTATTAAAGATTAAAGTAGTTTAAGTAATATCAGTATCTAATTCAGTATTCAAAATTTGGAATAGTAAGTAAATACTGTACATCTTAAATATTGATTAATATTCAATAGGGAAGAAAGAAATAGCTATAGGTGAATCCTACATTCCATTTTCATCATCAGTGAGAATTGTAATAGGAGAATAAAGACAACATAAATAACCATACCAAATTGCAAATAAAGCTTACTAATGTCTAAAGATAGAAGGAATTAAAAAGGAAAAAAAGAAAAAAACTGCATTTTACAAGTGAGGAAATAGACTCAAAATAATTAAGCTGGGCTGGGCATAGTGGCGCAGGCCTGTAATTCCAGCCACTCAGGAGGCTGAGGCAGAAAGATTGCAAATTCAACACCACCCTCAGCAACTTAACAAAACCCTCTCTCAAAATAAAATAAAAAGGGTTGGGGATTTAGCTCAGTGGTAGAAGGCTTGCCTAGCATGGGTGAGGCCCAAGGTTCAACACCCAGAATCACAAAGAAAAAGAATCCTTATCTTACTTTGTGATGAGAAATATGTCTACCTATTCTAGTAGAAATTTTAGATCAGTGTATTCTAACTAAAATCCCTAAATGTAAATAAAAAATAAGCAAACTCTTTTTGTACTTATAGATGGACAGCATGCCTTTATTATATTTATTTATTTTTATGCAGTACTGAGGATCAAACCCAGTGCCTCACACATGCTAGGCAAGCACTCTGCCACTGAGCTCCAGCCCCAGGCCCAAATTAGCAATTTAACAGGGCAACAAATACAAATTATACAAGACAGTCATGATATCATTACCTCTGATACTCAAAGTCAGAGTCTGGTTATCAAACCCACTTCAATCCAAAACTCTCCAGAGATGGTAGGAACAAGTCAGACAAATGACAAATTCATGAGTGAATGAATGATTAAACAAAGTTTTCTTCCTACTGCTTCTCCTTTATCATCACAGAAAAGTCAAATGCTGTAGAAATCTTCTTATACCTGTGATATAACACTGACATTCCAACTGAATTCTAAATGTGCTCTGAGATTTGGGGAAATGGTTCATTTTAAAGAGGATTATTTATATTTTCAATAAAAACAGACAAAGCAAAAGTTAACAATTCCCTTAAGAATAATTCCTCAATCAAGAGAGCAGATGACATATAAAAATACATATTCATAAGAATAACAATGAAAAAAATTCAACATCTGGAAACCTGAGAAAAACTTAATATAAAACCAGATTACCATGAGATCAACCTTTATGTATAAGAGTTAACCTACTGCTTATACATGAATTTTCTGTACTATTCCTCTGGGGCTATTTAGCCCACTCGTCAGAAAACAGCCCTACAAATGCAAAGGTCATAAGTAGAGGCAGGGAAAATGAACTTTTCTTTAGCGATTATATTCCATGACCATAAAGTATATTTGCAGACATTTGTATATTGTAAGAACTAAGAAGATGAATCAGTATAGGAAAATGACAATTAGAAAAGAGTGATGTGCTACTCTTCACTTTTAAAACTTCAACTCCCTCTACCTTCCAGATAAACATCTTCAGGTCACTGGTGAAGACTATAATCAATATAAACTTTTCGGAAAAACCTAGCACTACCATGAAAAGGGCAACATGTGGACACTCTAAAAGGCAGAGAAATGCCATTTAGAGATATATATACCACAGCAGACATTACAGCAGAAATGTTTATGTCCCCCCAATATTCATGTTGAAATCCTCACCCCCAAGGTGATGGTACTAGGAGGTGGAGCCTTTGGTGATGACTAGATCATGAGGGATTGTGGACTGTCCAGATTCCGTAACTATGAGAAATGAGTTTCTATTGTTGATAAACTGCCCAGTTTATAGAATTGTGTTATAGCAGCCCAAACAGACTGTGACAGCAGAACTTCCAACTCAGTGCTAGAAAGAGTTTATGTGTTGAAATATTGATTCCCCTCAGCCATCAGCGTGGCAAAGGATAGCCTACGGGTCAATAAAAACAGTCTTTTCCACTGATAAGTGCATTATGTCAAACACTATCATTTTTTAAAGCATGCTATACTTTGAAAGTCTTGCAAATGATATCCTGAAGATATGCTCTTAATGGCATTATGATAATGGCAAAATATAGAAACCACTTATATGACAATCAGAGTATACATACAGAGTATACACACAGAGCCTAGCATGCGCAAGTCCCTGGGTTTAATCCCCAGTACCACAAAAAAAAAAAAAAAAAATATATATATATATATATAATAGTAGATATATAAATGGTGGTATATTCATACAATTGGAATACCATACAACAGAAGAACTGAATAACGTGTAATTTCATAGTATACCATTGACCAAGAAAAGCAAAAAATATATATATACGCTTTCATTTACATAAAGATCAAAACTGACAACACTAAACATGATTTCTAGGAATTCACACATAGGTGCTAAAACCATGAAGAAAGGCATGGAATGATGAATACAAAATTCCATGAGAATGGTTCATGAGAGCAGGTCAAGGGATGCTATCACAAAGCATAAACCGGGGACTTCTAAGGTTGTTATTTCCTAAACTTTTTGAAAGCAAAATGTGAAGAACAGCACAGGAGCTGTGGTGTGGCTCAATAGTAGAATGCTTGCCTAGCAAACGTAAGGCTCTAGGCTCAATCCCTAGCACTAAGAGAGTAAAAAACCATCAGACATAAATACTCAGCAAATATTTGTAACTATGACGATTAGGTAGACTTCAAACCTACATTATAAGGCCATAGAAACCAAAACTGTTTCATACACAATAAGAGAAGGAATGAGTTGTTCCATATATGTAAACCTCTAGATAATTGAAACATATCTCTTTAAGCACCATAATCATTGGGGTTGTTATATTTCCAATTCTGGATGAAAACCTTCATAAAGTGTAAAATTATAAGTTCTCTTCTTAGACATAGATACAAAAGACCCTTTAACTTTTCAGTAATGATTTAGAGTCATCACTATGAATTTCAATGATTCTATGGCAATAAAGACGGTGACTCACTAAGCTGAAGTAGACAGAGCTAACTAGTGTGGTTTTCAGACCTTGTGTGCTTTTGTACTTCTCTTTCCATTCTACCAAAAAATTATTAACACCTATTTCTAACTAGCTGCATTCCTCTACTTCTAATTCTGAGAAACCAGGTAATGGTAAACAGGTAAGTCCCTTTTGCTGCATGAGCTTTGAATGCTAAAGGGCCCTATTTTCAGGCTGAGCAACTGGCAATATGTTCAAGATCACTAAGGTGGCTGGATAAATTGAAGTTACCACACTTCTTTTGTAGATCACCTCAGACTCACCAAGCCCTAGATGTGAATGCTCAAAAATCTCCTGAGGAGCTCAAATTGCAAGTTCTACTGATGACCTACCAATGAAGGTCAATATTCTTGTTAAAGATGGATAATAATTATAACCATAAAGTACCTATATGCCAGGAACTTTAAATGTTTATAATAGAAAGAAAACCACCCCTGGGAGCCATTTTTAGGGAGAGCAGCAAAGTTTGCCTACAATGAAATTAAACAGACTTCCAGATTTGCTGCTTTTCCAGAAAAGATCTTTCTGAAACTGTGATATTATAACCAAGTGATGGGTGTAGCTGTGTGTGCTCTAATAAAAGTGCAATTAATAAAGCTTGGTAAAATGAGGGTGTCTGAAGAGCAGTCTGAGACTAACAATGGATCTGGTAGAAATACTTGAAATCTGATCAATGAATAGAATTCTTAGCGGTTTTGCCCAAACCATAAAATTTCTTTCCTATCTAGTATTAGCTTCAGTTTAGAAAGACCTGCTTATAATGAATAAATAACACAACAATAACAAATATGACATTTTCAAGAAACCTACCTCACTGAACTGCTGTAACAAAGTAGATGGTAAAAAATCCTGAGGGTTCAAGTCCGTAGGAGGCCCCGTCCAGTTACTCTGAACAAAAAGCTGCAAACTGCTCACACCAAGGAGGAATATCAGCTGTTGCCTGCATGTAAGGATGATGAAAGAAAGAAAAAAAATGAACCACTATCACCATAAAAATCTCAAATGTGCTATTTCATTTCAGTGTTAAGAAAAAGATATCCAGTAACAATTGTTGAGACTACTCTAAAGTACTATTAAAAATCAATTCTGAAACAAAATAATTTACATCTGTAATTATAACTGTGGTTATAACCAACATTATAACCATGAGCCACATATGGTTCTTTTAAATTTAAATTGACTAAAATTAATTTAAAATACTGGTCTTAGCACTTTCCATATTTCCAGTGTTCAACAGCCAAATATAACCACTATATTCTTCTTTTGCTGTTTGATGTATGTACACCATTGTAGCAACTACCACATTGGACAGAGCAGATACAAAGCATTCCCAAAACCACAGAAAATTCTTCCAACAGTGCTGATATAGGTCCTACTCAAACACCTGTAACTTTTCCTTATATTCTATTTAATAGCTCTGACATTATCAGAAGATGTAAGAAAATTTGACTTTATACAAAAGAAAACTGGTCATAAAACATTTACTGATCCTGTACCAAATGCTAGAATGAAAAGACCTCAGGAAATCTGACTAAAATCTCTATTTTTTTATGCTGTTTTACTTTAAGATAGAAATAGATATTTTCTATAAAAGGAGAGATATAAAACATTTGGGGCCCTATATGTCACACACTTGTTTATTTTTTGTTGTTGGCGGGTTTTGGCCTAAAAGACATAATTTGTCAAACCCTATATTAAAACATTGAAATCCAGCAAGTAACAGCCAGGAAATACTGGAATTTCATTCTGAAGAGAAAGAAACAGCAGTCACCTTTTCCTTCCCACAGTCCCTAGGCCTATTTATTTATTTATTTATTGGTGGGAAGGATACCAGGAATTGAACTCAGGGGCACTCAACCACTGAACCACATGCCCAGCCCTATTTTGTATTTTATTTAGAGACAGGGTCTCTCTGAATTATTTAGCACCTCGCTTTTGTCTCAGCCTCTGAGCTACTGTGCCAGAGCGCCCAGCCTTAGGCCCTTTTCAAAAGGAAAATTCTTTAAGTGGAGAGGGAGAAAAAAAAAATCAAACTTACAAGCCTAGAAGAGCCCAGAATATAAAGCTCTGAAGGTGTTCAACTGACAACAGAATAAGGAATAACTGGCACTCAAGAAAAGAGCCTGCCTGTATGTAGAAGTTAGGAAACAGGAAAAAAAAAAAAAAAAACAGGTGTATAACAACATCTTAAAGCTGTAATACAACCATCCTAACTAAAAATGCTTAAGGTGAATTGAGAATATTTTAATTTTCCAATGCCTAAAAGTGAGTCAAATGAAGTGACGCTTGTCAAGCTAGAATTCTAATCTACCAGTGAATAATATATGTGTGTGTGTGTGTGTGTGTGTGTGTGTGTGTGTGAGAGAGAGAGAGAGAGAGAGAGAGAGAGAGAGAAGAGAGAGAGAGAGAGAGAGAGAGAAAGAGAGAGAGTGAGTTAATGGATAAAAGGCAAGCTGCTCCTATGGTATATATACATCAGAAAGCAAAATAAGAATCAAGATTGGATATTGCAGGAAATATAAACCATTGTGAAGCCTGAACAAAATGAAAAGGAATTATATTACACTGAAAAATAAACAAAAGGGGCTGGGGATGTGGCTCGGTATTGAGCTCGCCTGGCATGTGTGTGGCCCGGGTTCGATCCTCAGCACCACATACAAACAAAGATGTTGTGTCCGCCAAAAAACTAAAATAAATAAATATTTTAAAAAATTCTCTCTCTAAAAAAAAAAAAAAGAAAAAGAAACAAAAACCTAGAGTAACATTTGTGGGTGAACTACTTACAGATATGGGTTATGTCTTATATTTACAATCTCAACAACATAATACAGTAGTTTGTTTATTGGTTGAAGAACTAAATAAAGGCATTCCCTATATAAAAAAGTAAAATGAAACAGCATGCATTTTTCAACATAATTAAAATTTGATGTGGATGCCACAGATAGTTGAGAAAAGAAAAAGGCATATTAACAAATCTCTAACAGTAAAATACAGACTACTGAAAAGCTTAGGTTTCACAGTATGTAACTTGTGGACTACACTCAACCCTATAAAATTACATAAACTTTAATGGAAGAAAAATAAGCCTAAGATTTCATAATAAAAATATTTAAGTTTTCTGATCTCTTCAAAGATAGCAATCTAAAACATAATAAAAGTAGTTAGAAGTGTCACTCGGTAATCTAGAAATAACAATACTGTTAACCTGCTGAAAGGAGACAGGTCTAAGGTCTTCTTATTGTTCAAACATAACCATATGGAAGTTCGGTGGGTAGTGGGTTAGCAATTAACAACCCATTATGTGCAGGTCTCAAAAATTTACTACATCACTTTACTTTTTCATTCTGCATGGTCTTCTGGACAAGAGAACTTATAAAGATAACTCAAGTCCAGGTTTCTCAACAACTGCTAAAATCAGTGCCCCACGATGTCAAAGTGTTATTATATTTATTCAAAATCTGTTTCTCCATGAAAATCTTAAATAAAATTCTACCTTTCTGGGGCTGGGGTTGTAGTTCAGCGGTAGAGCGCTTGCCTGGCATGTGCCATCCTCAACACTACATAAAAATAAATAAATAAACAAAATAAAGGTATTGTGTCTAACCAAAAATAAATATTTTAAAAAAATTTTCTACCTTTCTGTTTGGTCCAAATCTGCTGAGCAATCCAGAAATGTAACTATCTGCTTCTCCAGGTAGCTGTCAATCTTTTCTTCAGCCATCATAGTTGAATTTAAAATATTTTGAGTCACTGAATGTAAGAACATGGCCTCGAAGCTCCCTTCTAATAGTAATTGTAAGAAAGATCCACTCTCTGTAATATAAAAAATTAAACCACTAACCCAAAAGAACAATCTTTTTATACTATAAAGAGAACCTTATAGGAAAAGGCAATTTTACTATGAAAAAGGTATACATAAAGAATGCTTGCTGTACATTAATCACAAAGCACTGACCAAATATCTGTCATTCTTCAAACATCACCACTCCTAAATTTAGAGCTCACCTGTACTATAAGCAGCAAAAAAATAATATTCCTCATTAATAGGTATTACAAACCTCCTGCTTGGAAATTCACAGATTCCAAATGACAACAGAAGTTTTGTTAGCCAGGGTCCTAGGATTTTTCACACTCTGGCTCATTTATTCACCCACTATTCTCCCTCATGAAGTCACTCCAAACATACTGGTTCACTAATTGTTCTCCTGATATTCCTAGGCACATTTCTGCCTCAATGCTTTCGTATTTGTGATTTTTTCCTGCTGAACTTTTCTACACGTGCCAGTCATAAACTAAAAATCAGCTCGTCTGATGTCCCATGAAACTTTATTCTAGACCATATTTGACACCACTAGATATCCATTTCCTCCCTCCTGGGATTTCCTGTGTATGTACACACGTGCACGTGTGAAACACACACACACACACACACTTAAACACTATACGCCACTAGTAAATGTCCATTTTAACTCTCTACCTCCCTGGTAAATGTGCACTGTTTACAAAAATTACATCTTTACCGCCTTATTTCGGTTTTTCTACTTACTAGTTGTGTGACTTTGGATAAATAAAACATTTATATTCAGATGTCTTCATTTGCAAAATGGTATTAAGATAGTATCTACCTTACATGTCTATTACAGGGAATAAATAAATGAATAATGTTAAGAGCTTACAAAAGCAGCAGGCGGCTTTTGCCTTAAACCTATATCCCAGCGACTTGGTAGGCTGAAGCAGGAGGATCCTGTTAATAGGAGTCCAGCCTTCGCAATTTACTGAGACCCTGCCTTAAAATAAAAAATAAAGGGCTAAGGATGGAACTCGGTAGTACAGCGCCACTGGGTTATAGGCAGTAAAAGAAAAACGCAACGGAAGTTGCCACTGTTATCTTTCTGAGCCTGGGAGCTGAGCAGTTTGGGGTTCAGACGCACCTAACCCCAAGACCCGCTCACCACATCAAGGGCTCAAAAGCCCCAAAGCCTGGATCTTGGTGTGGGGTTGGAGAAGACAAGGAGGGATGAGAGCCAGAGCTGGCATCCCGCATCCTCACAGCTCCCATGCTGGCCTAAGACCCTGAAGGTGCGCCTCTCACCAGAGCCGAAGACCCCCTCCTGCTTCCATTGCTGCCGCTCAGCCTCGGTGGGGAAGCCCCTCAGAACTGCCACCTCCGGGGTCCGTATCAGCCCGGACATCGCTGTAGCCAAAATGCGTTCCTATGAGGATCACACAGCAGTGAACGAATAATGAAAGAAAACGGATCCAAAATCTCCGAAATCAAGTAGTGACAATTATCATAACGACACCCACAGAGCTATAACTCCATGTGTGGATATTGACCTAAGGGGGCGGCCATGACAGCAGCGCAGAGCACCCTGGGAAAAACACACGTGCTCTCTGACCCAGTTTCCGCATAGGAAACCAACCAGAGTCTGGGTACTGAGCATGCCCGGTGGGATGTTCCGCCCCGAGGCGTGGGGGCGGGGATGAGCTCTGTCACGCCCCTAAGTGGGTGGGGTTGGTGTGGGGTGGGAGGGGTGTTTATTGGATTCCCACTACTGGCAAAAAATACAAGTAAAACAGCAACTCACAACGGAGATCTTGGCCAACAGTGATTTCATAGGCCAGGCAAGAGCTATGCTTCTAAATGCTTTTGCATGAGAACTCTCTTGACTACCTGATGCCACTTTACCATTGAACTACGTCCCTAGCCCCAGCCCTTTTATTTTTTTTAATATTTATTTTTTAGTTATAAGTGTACACAAGATTTTTATGTGGTGCTCAAGATCCAACTCAGTGCCTCAAGCATGCCAGGAGAGCACTCTACCACTGAGCCAAAACTCCAGCTCCAACGCTTTTATTTTTATTTTTTTTAAGAGAGAGAGAGAGAATTTGTTAATATTAATTTTTTAGTTTTTGGCGGACACAACATCTTTGTTTGTATATGGTGCTGAGGATCGAAGCCAGGCCGCACACATGCCAGGTTAGCGCACTACCTTTTGAGCCACATCCCCAGCCCTATTTTTATTTTTGGATACTGTCTTGCTAATTTGCTGAGGGTCTCACTAAATTGGTTAAGCTAGCCTCAAACTTGATATCCTCCTGCCTCAACCTCCTGATCTGCTGTGGATACATATGTGTGCCACCATGGCTGGCTAATAAACTTTTTTTTTTTTTTGGCTGGGGAGGTGCTGGGGATTGAACTCAGGGGCACTTGACCACAGAGTCACATCTGCAGCCCTATTTTGTATTTTTTTTAAGAGACAGGGTCTCACTGAGTTGCTTAGTGCCTGGCTTTTGCTGAGGCTGGCTTTGAACTCAGAATCCTCCTGCCACAGCCTTCAGAGTCTCTGGGATCACAGGCATGTGCCACCATACCAGCAAAACATTTTTTTTTAACTTATTCAAACGTATGACTTTTGATGTACCCTATCACATTCCCATTAGTAAAGAATCTTATTTCTCAAAATCCAGGCTTCTCTGGAGACAATCATTACACAAGTTCTATAATTAAGTTCTCAATTTATGAAGAGTAGAATTTGTAAAAAAAAAATTTAAAAATTATAATCTTTGCGTACAATAATTAATAGGGGCTGCAGGGGGAGCATAGCTCAGTGGTATAACACATGTGTAGCTTGTAGAAAGTCTGGGTTCAATTCCCTGCACCACAAAATAATTAATAATATGTGAAAGTTAGCTTTTCATCATTACATCATTAGGGCCAAAATAGCTGACACAGATATCTTACAGAAGAATTTATTTTGGCAAATGGTTACAGAGGTTTCAGTCCATAGTCAGCTGGCTCCACTGGTTCGGGTCTGGGGTGAGGTGGACCATAATAGGAGAAAGGCATGGCAGAGGGAAACTGCTTGCTGCTCAGTTCATGGAAGACAGGAAGGAGAAAGAGAGAAAAATGAGAAGGAGAAGGAGGAAGGTACTGAGAGAAGATGAACCCTACTGGGCAAGCCCCTAGTGACCTGCTTCCTTCAGCTAGGTCCCACTTTCCCAGAAGTCCATTCAGCATTCCATGGATTCATTCACTGATGAGGTCAGTCCTCGTGATCTAATCATTACCCCCAACTCCAACTTCTGAACAGAAGAGACTTTGGGGAACATTCAAGATCCAAACCACAACAATGTGGGGTTTTTTTTTAAAAGCCCTTATGCCAGAAAAATGGATGTAACTATACTTAGGATATAACTATTTGCCACAAAATCAACCAGAGACAATATACCTACAGCTCCACTGAGACTGATCACATCGCCTATGCTACTCCGAGATTTTTTTCTCCTCCTCAGGGAAAATAAAGCTCCTCATTGCTAACCCCAAGCCAAAATTAACTGTTCTGCAGGTCTATTATTGAAGTCATTCCAATAGCATGAGCTCCCAGTGGACTGTGTCTTCTTTAAAAGATTACAAAGGGTATATAACCATAGCTGCGGGAAGACCCCTGAGGATGATGTCCCTATACATAGAAGTTAAATGATTCGAGATGATCATCAAAATTTTGTTTCCTCACTTTGGCTGATGTAGCAAATAGAATGACCCAAGCCCTGGGGACATAAGGATTCAGATTTCCAACACAAGGATTTATGGATAACAGATGTAATGGATAGCATATGACCAATAATTTGCCTTCAATTTCCTTTTGGCCAACTGTGATATGGTTAGCATTTCAAGCTGTGCCTGAATTTATTCCACAGGTGAGTTAAAACTGTATCTAAGCTAAAGGAAAAAGCAAACTGGTTATCTAAAGTAGATGCAGTGGGTCACTTAATCTTACTTTTTTTATTAAACCTGGGAAATCATGGGCAGTGGGTTCCAGTGTTCTTCCAGTCACTCAAAACTCCAGTGTATTTGTTTCCCATTTGTTTCATAGCTGCTGTCCAAATCTCTACCACTTCCATGCAGTCACTGTCCTGACAGATGATTCAGCAAATGACTCAAAACAAAACCAGGATGAATCATGCTGGTCAACACATACACTGAAAATCAGCTCTCACAGGCAAACCCTCATTGTCGGAGGATCATCACGGTGGTTAAAACCTGGACCATCCTCGACAGTATTTCCTGCAGATGTGGCTGAATGAAGACCAATGTGAGGGACTTAATATTGAAAACTTCCCATAAGCTTGGGGAAAAGACTGATGTTCTGAAGCCATGGTGATAAACAGTGACTAGAACTAGTTATAGACCTGTTCAATCATTGAATAACTTGCTGGAAGTAAACGTATTTTTGCAAGTCAACCAACCATGGCCTCATTGTTGTTTATAAAAGTCAGGGATAGATTCACTCAGCTGAAAAGGCTCTGAATATCACCCCGTCCACAATGGCTTCGAATTTAATAGATGATGTCAAATGCTTACGCCTCTACGTTTACCAGGACTTGAACTCTGAAAGCCTTGCCTAAGATTAGTGCTCCCTGTGCTAGAAGAGACTGAGATAGACCTACATAACTTTCCCTTCCTACAATATGCAATAAATTCAGCTTTTTTTTTTCTTTCAGGTATTGAATAGGGTCTTATTATTCTTGGACCATATATCACACCATATCGGACTGGACATTTGTGATGAGGCTCTCTGTGATGGGTCAATCATCTCTACTGGCACTGAGTGGAAATGGGGTTTGATATACTCATGAGGCCCCACAAAGAGGACTGCAGTATGTGAGAAAGTTTTAGGAGAGTGTTTCTAGGCTTCATGCCTCTTTGCAGCCCGAAGAGAAGGAATGCTTTTATTCCCTTAGACACTAACAGCAGACATAGACAGAAGAGGGTGCTAATGTTTGAGAGGAAGCTGAGTGGTGTCAACACAAAAGGTAAAAGAAAAGGCCAGGTAAGAAGATCCAGCTGTGGCTGACCTTGCTCCAGCAGTGTGTCAGCTATGACTTAGTTTTCATCCGATGTGTTATTTAATACTATAATTCCGAGGTTACTCATAGTATTATCTCATTTTAGAAGCAAAGAGAGTAAGATTTCTGGTAAATAAGTGAATAAATGATACAGCTGGAAATCAAACAAGTCAGTAAGACACCAAAGCCCTTATTCTGTCTTCTGTACCAAGGTTTCTCAAAGTTCAGAGACCACTAGAATCAGAATTATTATGAGCCATGCGTGGTGGTCAGGCTGAAGTAGAATTTCTTATTTAAAAAAAAATTATTTCTTAGTTGCAGTTGAACACAATACTTTTATTTTATTTATTTTTATGTAGTGCTGAAGATTGAACCCAAGGCCTTGCACGTGCTAGGCGAGTGTGCTACTGCTGGGTCACAACTGCAGCCCTGAAGTAGAATTTCTTAAACCAAGAAGTTTTAAGCCAGACTGGGTAACCTAGGGATTCTCCTAACCCCCCAGAATAAGAATTACCCATGGAACTCATTAAAATACACATTCTTAGGCCTTCTCTGGTTCTAATAAATCAGACTATTTGTTTTTGTTTTGTTTTTGTTTTTGTTTTTTTTGAGAGAGAGAATTTTTTTAATATTTATGTTTTAGTTTTCAGGGGACACAACATCTTTGTATGTGGTGCTGAGGATCGAACCCAGGCCGCACGCATGCCAGGTGAGTGCGCTACCGCTTGAGCCACATCCCCAGCCCAGACTATTTGTTCATCCCATACTAGGAGTTTGGGAAGTATAAGTGTCCACCATATGCCTAGGTAGGTGGCAGGAATGTCTACTCCTAGCAGGTTTGTTTCCTCTCCACATGGTCTATTGAATGGTTGGGCAAAGACACTGCAGTTCCATGTTTTTGATTGCTCTGGGCATTTGTGCAAAGTAACCCATTAATATCACCACAAATTCTTCCAATGTGGTTAATGTCCTAGTATGTGTGTAAATGAAATATGAAGTCACTATGATGTCAATTCGGTTTGTACCAGGACCTGACTAAAACTGTCACAGAAAGATGAGTAGCATGTCAGTGTAATTAAAAAAGACTTCTGCTTTTTTTAAAAAAAAAAAATTGTATTTGATGATACCCTTCCTATCTACCTTCCCATTAAATAGAAAGAGATCTATTTTCCCAATTTGTTAGAAATCAGCTATGAGGGGGCTGGGGATATGGCTCAAGTGGTAGCACGCTCGTCTGGCATGCGTGCGGCCCGGGTTCGATCCTCAGCACCACATACCAACAAAGATGTTGTGTCCACCGAAAACTAAAAAATAAATATTAAAAAATTCTCTCTCTCTCTCTCTCTCTCTCTCTCTCTCTCTCTAAAAAAAAAGAAAGAAAGAAAGAAAGAAATCAGCTATGAGGGATAATTTAGGACAGGTGAAAAAGACATGTTCCCTTGCCTATGAATATTCAGACAAATGCATAGCTCACATATTTTTCCTAAGTAAGACTGAATTCATGAGTGTTGGACCAGAGGGGGCTTTTTTTCCTTTTATTTCAATACCAGGGATTGAACCCAGGGTT